CTAGCACTTGTTTGACATGCTCCAGCAGAGACAGAGATTCTTGATTTGCTTTACAGAAGTATTAAGAGCACCATTTTTCATAATACTCAAATGAAATTGTCCAGATTAGTAATATAGTTGCACACCATACTATTACCACAAAACAGCCTGAAAATGAAACCGTATCTCTGAGATTAGACTATTTATTCATTAGGAAGCAGATCCACTGTGTGACCAAACATTTCTAAATTTCCTAAGTTACTGTTGCTGGAACAGCCAATGTGAGCTTCTCTGAGACACAGAGCCACAAAAGAAAATGGTTGGAAGAGCCAGAACTTTCCCTTGGTACCATCCTCAACTCATCTGTACTAGTAAATGCTACCTAAGGACAGCCAAGATCACCATACTGGCATGAGCTTGCAGGTCACTATCTTGGGGCAACAACACTGGTGAAAGCAGCCTTCACTGAGGCTCTGGTATTTTCTCTAAATCTCCAGGTGACTCCAACCTTACAACACTAAAAGACTGAACAACCTCCACAACCTGGAAACTACCTTCCTGAGTATTCAGATACCACAGTCAGAAACATAAACAAGAACCTCAACAGATCAGTCAGCCTTCAGACTCCCTGGTCTGTTATAGTCAACAGCATACAGTAAGGGCCTATTTGCCTTGTTTTCAACTGACTGCCCCACTTCTCCCTGGAGAAACTTGATTTTCTACCTCCCCGTGTCACTGCAAGTTCTGTGAACAGTTAGAAAAAATTTTCATGACTCCAAAGATTAAGGACAAAGTTCAACAAACACGTTATTAAGCTACACTATTGGGAGCCATTTCTACTGAACTGAACACTTGTGAAACCTGGATTGTTCTTCTGGTGCACTGGACTTAAAAAAGCATACAATAGAGTTCAGTTTACAAAGGAAGTATTTCTTTCTCAGGAAAAAAATTACTTTCACAGAAAGTCACATTGAGAAGATATTTCTCATTTCCAAGAGAATTCCAGCAGAGAAAAAGCAAAATATACTCTCAGGGTATAACATAATGTAACAGAAATTAACTATAACGCATGCACTGAATTTTGCTACAATATCCTATGAGTAATCATTATTATGACTTGGGGAAACTTTCCGACAAAGGCAACAAAAATAACTGTGATCTGGGCACTGCCACTTTTCTTTTATCATTCTCTTGAAAAAGCGCTGCTATGCGTGTGAAATCCAAGTAGCATGAGCTCTGGCAGCCAGTCACTGGAGACATAGGTCTAATTTCAATTTACAACTTTAATGCTACCTGTATCCAGGAAGCCCAGATCTGAAGGTCATTATCTCTGGAAATGCAAAGCTGCATATAGACTCCTACAGAAACCTAAACACATCCACATGAAATGCCTTCCCTGCTTTCATCACTAATGACAGCACTATCTATTCCTCTAATACCTGAAAGATTGGCTTTTATCAATACACTTAAAAATCAGTCATTTAATAACTAGTAGGCCAATACCTGATGGATGTAAATCACATACTATAGATTGGTATTAGTATGTATATTCAAATAAAGCACTGAGCTCAATTATACTACTATTTTTGCATTCATGTCTTCATGAGAAACTGGAGAGCGGGAGTGTACCTGCATGCGTCCTACATGTCTAAGTATTGCTGTGCAATAGTACTAGAAGTAAATATGAGTATTAATTTCCAACTGATGACTTATTAGTACCATCATTTCCTTCCTTATAAAGTATAGAACTCACAAAACATTCCCTTAGACACTAGAAAATCTGTTTCAATACCAGTGAAAATGGGGGTTATCACAACATATCTAACACAAGCTTCAACTGTTAATTGTTATGCAATTATAATGCATAAGTTAATTCACAGCACACTTATGAAATAAAACATTAATATCCTAATTTACAGAAAGGAAACTGAGGAAACTTTTTATTTAACATAGGAAATCAAGAGTAGAGAATAGAAAAGAACTTAGATCTGGGTCAAGACTCTGCTAAGAAAAGCATCGACCCTCTCAGGAACATATAATTTTTTCAGAATCTAGTCTGAATAAAGATCTGTAAAACTTGCCATAAAAAGAGAAATAAGGGAAGATTAGAATCACTTGAGTATATACAACTGAGGTATGACATTTTTTAGAATACCAGACTTAACTAATCTCTGCCTTTACTATTGTGAAACTCTGACTGAAATCAGAGCTTGAGTGCTGAGCTGCAACACGTTCACTCTACACGATATATATCCAACCCAGCAGGGATGCACGCTTGTGAACAGCTTACTCTACCCAACTATAATTGTATAATTATCATCTTTGGTCTTACCATCTATCATCAATGGTAGACCATTGAACCAAATCAAATAATCAAGCCTGTAGAAAGTACTTCAATAAAAGACACTTCTGAGAAGCAAACACATTAGAGATTCAACACCTGCAGCAAAGTCAAGCCTTAATGTTTGATCAAGTAACGTCTGTAAAGCACTTTAAGGACAAATAAAAAATTAGCATTATTATTGCTGAAAAAATCCTGAAGTCATTAAAGTTGGTGTATTCTGAGTTCATAACAGAATTCTACACTGAACAGACAAGACAGGTCTGGACAGTTTCATTTGTAATTCCCTTACATGTATTTCTGATACTGGGTGAAGTAACTAGTTCAGAATGGTTTTACAAGCCATCTGCTTTATCATTGTGCAGACCATATCATCCCTGGCCCTAAGAAAAGCAAGTAAAAAAGGTCTTGTGCTGGCCAGGGACTGTAAATCAGGGAGCTCAGAAAATGTTTGAAGGAAGTAATTGTCCCGGGTTCAGCTACAGCAGTCATTTTTTCTCCTTCTTAGTAGCTGGTGCAGGGCTGTGGTTTTGACTTTCAGTCCGGGAACAACGCTGATAACACCGATGTTTTTAGTTCTTTTCAGCCAAGTCGTATTTACTCCAACCAAGGACTTTCTCGGTCTCATGCTCTGCCAGGGAGGAGGGGAAGCCGGGAGGAAGCAGAGACAGGACACCTGACACAAACTGGCCAAAGGGGAATCCCATACCACAGCACGTCATGCCCAGTATAGAAACTGGGGGGAGTTACCCGGAAGGCCCAGATCACTGCTCGGGTCGGGCTGGGTATCGGTCGGCGGGTGGTGAGTGGTTGTGTCCTCTCCCCTTGTTATTCCTCTTATCATTATTACTGGTAGCAGTAGTGGTTTGTATTATACCTTAGTTACTGGAGTGTTGTTATCTCAACCCGTGGGAGTTACATTCCTCTGATTCTCCTCCTCATCCCTCCAGGAGCGGGGGGAGGAAGAAGTGGAGGAGTGAGCGAGCGGCTGCGTGGTTCTGAGTTACCGGCTGGGCTTGAACCACGACAGTAATGCAGCAAATGCAAAACTAACCTCCAAACCAACTGTAAAATTAAGACTAAAAGGAAAATAAATAAAATGTAATGCTAAAGCTCGCTCCTGTGTGTCCACCATTCACTCAAACTGACAGAAGAGGATATTTAAAAATTCTTAATAAAATCTTCATGTTCTTTTGTTTAAATCTCATTTCTTCTTTTGAGGATTTATCTTAC